CATAAGTAAAATGTTTCCCTGAGTTCTGTGAGCCATTCTAGCAAATTATCAAACTGGCAGTGGAGACCAGTTGTCTGTAATGGAAACTCATAACTCTGTAATCAAGTCAGAGCAAAACATGGGTACCCTGGGGACCCAACACTTGCAACTGGCACCTGAAGTGAGGTCAATCTTCTGAGACTAAGCTGTTAAACTTGTGAAGGCAAATATTAACTCTGATAAGTTATTTCAGAATTGAATTGAATGGTAGAACACTGGTGTGGTGTCCAGGCAGCTAGAGAACTGGTTGTTGATGCAGAAAACTCTCACACATCTGGTGTCAAAAGTGTTGTAAGTTGAAACAGTAATAAAGAGGAATAAAAGATTGGTCTAGTATTCATATATAACAGTAACCCCAAAGTAAATTTTGTAAAAGGTAAAGGTTCTTTGACAAGACAAAATTTGCAATACTAGTAACAAGCACTTCTTCTAAAGACTAGAAATTAGAAAACCTGAATCCTAGCCCTGTATAATTATAAAAATAATGCAGCCAATAAACTCCCGGAATATGCCAAACTCTAATCTAAGCACTATGCAAATCTGATGTCATATAATATATATAACAGTACTATGAGGTAGGAATTACTTGTGTATCTCATCCATAAATGAAAAACAATGAGGCACAGAGAGATGAAGAGACTTGCCCTAATTAACATTCTTAAGTGACAAAGCCAGGGATCAATTCATACAGCCTGATTCCATAGTATGTGCTTCTAATTACTCTGCCTTAGTGTTAACTTAAATTTTTAATCTAAAAAGACAGAGAGAACAAGAAACAGAAAAGTCTGAACTAAATAATGTCTAAGGAAGCATCCAGCTATTAGATTTACACTTTTCTCAAAAATATTTTTGTTGTGAAACTGAACATACTAATTTCATTTCAAATGGCATCTTAAGATACATAATTTGAAAAACAAATGTGGAGTCACCATTTCTATATTTTACATGATTTTATTAATATATACTAATGAAATCTCCCTTTAATATTTGCTTTTTAAATAGCACTTCATCATACTGAACTGCTTATAATCCTATAAATGTCCTGCAGTAATCCTGAGTGTTCTTCACCAAGTATTTCCAATCAACAAACAAGGCATATCTTTCCATTTCCTTAGGTCATTTTAAATTTCTTTCAGCAACATTTTGTGATTTGTGGAATACAAGTTTTTCATCACCTTAAACTTATTCCTAGGTATTCTATTGTTTTAGATACTATTGTAAATGGAATTGTTTTCTTAACTTCCTTTCCCCTTCGTCATTTCTGGTGTGTAGAAACACAACTGATTTTCATGTGTTAAACTTTTAATCTGTAACTTGGCTAAATACTTTCAATAAATCTGTAGTAGGCTACTTTGACAAGGCATTATAAGAAAAAGACAAGCTCAAAACTGAATTCATAGAGAAAAGACAATTCTCAAGCATCAAATCACAGGAAATAGAAAAGTACAGAAATCTGAAGGCTTGCATGCACAACCACTTCCCAACCGCAACTTAAGAAACAAACAACTGAGAAGGCCTTTCAGCAACAAATACCAACTACATTCAGCCTTGCAGCAAGTGGTAAACTAAGTGTTTTAGCCATACTCACTAATAAAAACTCAATAAAGTGCCTCCAAGCAGAGATAAAATAAAGCTATGATTGTTTCAGGCTATATGGTTTAGGGAAAAGAGACCACAAGATTTCTTCCACCCTGGTTTGATAAAATGAATATATCTCTGCAATTAAATAGAAGGACAGAGGGACAAATATGAGGTTCAAAGCATTTAAGCATATTAAACCTAGAAAGTAGTTCTCTAGTTTTACAAAGGCAGATTAGTTAAAAAATTTTTTGGAAAAAAAAAAAAAAAAGTAGTTCTCTAAAACAACTGTGGACGTGGCCTTAATAGAGCTGACTACTATCAAAGACAAGATACCATGGGGAAAGGATTCCCTGTTTAATAAATGGTGTTGGGAAAACTGGCTAGCCATATGCAGAAAGCAGAAACTGGACCCCTTCCTGACACCTTTGGACCCCTTCCTGACACCTTACACTAAAATTTACTCCAGATGGATTAAAGGCTTAAACATAAGACCTAACACCATAAAAACCCTAGAAGGAAATCTTGGCAAAACCATTCAGGACATAGGCATAGGTAAGGACTTCATGACCAAAACACCAAAAGCATTGGCAACAAAAGCCAAAATGGGACCTAATCAAACTCCATAGCTTCTGGACAGCAAAAGAAACAGTCATTAGAGTGAATTGGCAATCAACAGAATGGGAAAAAATTTTTGCAATCTACCCATCCGACAAAGGGCTACTAGCCAGAATCTACAAAGAACTAAAACAGATTTACAAGAAAAAAACAAACAACCCCATCAAAAAGTAGACAAAATATATGAATAGGCACTTCTCAGAAGAAGACATTTATGCAGCCAACAAACATATGAAAAAATGCTCATCATCACCGGTCATTAGAGAAATGCAAATCAAAACTACATTGAGATACCATCTCAAGCCAGTTAGAATGGTGATCATTAAAAAATCTGGAGACAACAGATGCTGGAGAGGATGTGGAGAAATAGGAACACTTTTACACTGTTGGTGGGAGTGTAAATTAGTTCAGCCTTGTGGAAGACAGTGCGGTGATTCCTCAAGGACCTAGAAAGAGAAATTCCATTTGACGCAGCAATCCCATTACTAGCTATATATCCAAAGGATTATAAATCGTTCTACTATAAGGACACATGCACACGAATGTTCATTGCAGCACTGTTTACAATAGCAAAGACTTGGAACCAACCCAAATGCCCATCGATGATAGACTGGACAGGGAAAATGTGGCACATATACACCATGGAATACTATGTAGCCATAAAAAATGATGGGTTCGTGTCCTTTGTAGGAACACGGATGAACCTGGAAACCAGCATTCTCAGCAAACTGACACAAGAACAGAAAATCAAACACCACATTGAGTTCTCACTCATAGGCGGGTGTTGAACAATGAAAACACATGGGCATAGGGAGGGGAGCATCTCACACTGGGGTCTGTCAGAAGGAAATAGGGGAGGGACAGAGGTGGGTGGGGAGTCAGGGAGAGATAGCATGGGGAGAAATGACAGATATAGGTGATGGGGAGGAAGGCAGCAAATCACACTGCCATGTGTGTACCTATGCAACAATCTTGCATGTTCTTCACATGTACCCCAAAACCTAAAATGCAATTAAAAAAAAAGACAAGACACCAAAGGAATCATTACCCTTAACTGTAACTATTGGCTACCTAAAATGACTCCTGGGATCCCCATTTTTTGTAAACAGGAAGCAGGTTCAGAAATGGTATGATCTTCAAAATCCATTTTAAATATAGCCAACAGATATTGAAAAATAAAAAACCTACAAGACCACAAGGAGCAATGGACTAGGAACCCTGTCAAAAAACTCTGAAAAGATAATCATGGTAAATGAAACGAGCAATCCCTACTCCCAGGCAGAGGCTCTTATTTAATCTATCCAGTGAGATTTTAAAATTGATACATACTAATGATAGCTGTGTGTCTCTGATTCTTCCTTTTTTCCTATTGAGGATGTTTACAGTAAATACCCTACCTTTGTCTCACCACTGTATACTAGGTATGTTGGGAATAAACAATTTAGATTTTAGTTCTACTTCTTCAGGTCAAAAGGGACCATGCCTGGACCTGGCAATGTAGAGACTGCAGCACATTATTCCCCTTCTATTACCCAGTGATCCTGGACTTTTGAACTTGAGGCCATGGCTGGATAGAATTTTCAGATTTTCTCCCAAGAGGACAAGATATGTTAATTTGCCTGTGAGACACAGACTTTCAATATTTGGTGAACAAAAGAGAAGAATGTGGTATATTTGTGCTATTCACTAAGCATTTCCTTTTGTCTTCCCTTCTAAGTTCATACATAGGCTCTCACTCTCTGGCCCCATCATGACTGGATGGGTCATGTAGATATAAATTGAAACTGAATGTGTCACTTCCAGGCCAGAGTATTTAATTACAGATACATATCTAACAGGGCTCCCTTTCACTTTGAAATGGTATCAGGTAATGCTCCACTTTGGAATTACACTATCAGTAGAGTTCCCAGGGTGGGGACAACATAAAACAGGGCCCCAGGATAGACCTCAATGAATATATAGCATGAGCAAAATATAAATTTTTGCTATTTGAAGCCAGAGAGTTTAGGGCATAACCAAGCCTATCCTGGCTAATATATGGTTACGCTGCTTCTATCCATTCATAAAGTTTTGTATTTCATATCTTTGACAGTCTGGTATTTCACCACCTAAAACAGCATAATTGTTATTAAATTATCTGTGTACTTCTTCTTAGATGCTCTACATGAAGTCGATTTAATTTTTACCTACCAACTTTTATATCATTGAGAAGCATTACTAGGAAATTCTTACATATGTTATTTATGCTATGACACATCCATAAATACTCTTCAGTTGCTTTGTTTAATGTAAAGCAGTTAATCACTTAGGCCTTCTAAGATATTAAATCAAGAAAAGAAAAAAATTTGAACAGGAACATTCAAACAGAAGCCAATGTCTGTAGAGAATGAAAGCTAACGTAAACATGCATAAGTGCTTTAAAAATTCAAATGTTATTTATAAATCTTATCCCACTAAAAATGATTTACTCACCACAATGCATTCACAGTTATCTCTATACTTCTGTTATTTGGAGAATATATTATAACTGAGAAATTAACATAAGAATAATCATTAATGTGGGGGAGACCCACATATTTCAGGCCTTTAGCCCTATTTTGAGTCTGCCATAAAATTCTCAATCTTTGAGTGTACATAAGCATATTTTTTCTCCAAAATACACCAAGGAAAGTAAATGGAACAGAACTGAATAAACAGTTATAGAGCTCTCGGGGAGAGAGTCAGGAGAAAAGTATAAATATATAATGGATGTGGACTTTTATTACCTGAGCATTTAGCAACTCCTCACACTTGTGTGCTTGTTTCTCAATTGCAGAAATGTACTGTTTTTCAATAGCTTCTACTTGTTGCTTAACTGAAGACTGCAGTAGTGCCTGAAAATAAGCAAAAAAGTCATTTGGATCACAGACAAAACTTGGAATCTACTGTTGGCATGATAATTTTTTTGACAGTTGAATATAGTGTAATATGATATTCTTCTAAATTACAAAATATGTATTTGTTCATACCTAAGCACATTTATATATAACACTACTTTCAGCTTTTGCTTTTACATTTGCCTATTGCCAAGATAACAGTTTTTTGGCTCAGATCTTCCTTCCACACATATTCTCCTTAAAAAGGCCAAGTCATAGAAGATGATAGAGAGGGTGAGTAGTTCTGTTAAATATAAATTTGGTTCAGTGAAGACCACACAGGATGAAGAGTGTATGAAAGCTGCTAAAAAAAAAAAAAAAAAGAAAAAAGGAAAACGAAAAAAAAAGCCAGACATATTTCACTGGCTGACAAAACTCCACATCCTCTCGGCACACTGTAATATCCCATGGGCCAAGCATGATCTTCAAGACCACAAGTCAAGTAAAAGCAGATGGAAATTCTGAGCAACTTCAAACATAAAAGAACTGCCCCCCAGGAAGTTCACGCCCCTAATGTGAAAAGGTACAAGCTGAAATATGTAAGTCAGAGTCTCAAGACAGTACACATGAAAAATAATAAAACTTGGGAGACAGGGCATACTTAGTTAAATACTATAAATGCTGGAAGTCAAGTCAGACAAATATAAAGATATTACCGCTGTTCCAAGGAAAACCAAATCAGCATTTGAAGATGTTCCACCTAGTCACTTCCTTATTGGAGATGCTTAGAATATTATTATATTTTTTCTTCCGCACTGTTGAGCTTTCTATGTTATATTAACAAGTTCTCAGTAATATCTTTCATGCTATTTATAAACCCTAAATCATTCTATAGGAACTCTACCAAATATCCTATTTATAAATGTCTGTTTAAATAATAAACTACTCATAATCAAAATACTAAGTTGAAACAGATACGTCTTATAGAAAACAGACCATTGGCACATTCACCCAGAAAAAAAAAAAAAAAAACAGCCAAATCTCTTAATCTCTGTTATGAAAATAGATTTACTTGGTTGGAAACATCATGCATTAAGATGCTAGATAAATAGGAATGTATTTTTAAAAGCTGACACAAAAATATTTTTAAAACTTCTAAATAAGTCTCAAATTTTCAAGTAAAAAACTTTCTTGTGCAAATGTAAGAATGTCTGATGGTGCTACTACTCCTACAATTCAGTAGTCATCACTATGGAGCTATAAAATTATTAGCAAATTAGTCAAGAAAAATAAAGCTCTGAGTTTTACCAAAATATAAGGAAAATGCTTACTAGAACTGCTTTAGCCCTTGATTTACAGGGTCTTCCAAAGATTCCACAATGATTAATTTATGTAAGACACAAAAACTTAATCCTTTTAAAGTGTGAATAGATAAATCTAATTTACCTGTGGGGAAACATACTATTTGTAGGAATTTCAGAAAAGTTAAAAAATAGTACAGTTATAAAAAATTCCCTTGGAATAATCACAGCATCTTTTGTAAAGAGAAAAAAATGCCCTTCTTTTTGGAGACTTGGGATATTATACAATCATTTTGCTTAACAGAAAGAGCTGTTTTCACTCCCTTATTTGCCATGGTTCCAAATAATCCCACAATTTAAATATTTAATATTTAAATACTCAATATTCAACTGCAATTTTTAATATATTATATCCTTTGGAGGACAGGTAAGTTAATAATATTCTCTCTATATAATTAAGAAACACAATATGAATAGGGTATTATTCCTCTAGTGATGGATTTGTACAACATCTACTCATTCTCTTTGAAATGTCAAGGAGGCTAACGAGTAAAGAGCGAGCCAAAGATGTGATTAGGTAGCATAAAGAAAAGCTATGCAAAAGTAAATGGCCTCATATATTTCAAACATCTCATCTTAGCCCCTTTCAGTCATTTAAATCCATAGATCAACAAAAGGGACACAGAGGTAGGTATATAAGGATTTTTTTTAAAGTCTTCCACATTGAGCTCAGTCTCAAGTTGAAGATAATCATTCCCTTGATAATCACACACTATAGGTATATCAGTGTGTGATTATCAAGGGTGACCTGTTAGACTCCCCACTATACACAAAGAACATTGAATAGATAAGAATAGCTGTTATTCGTAGATTCTGGATATTAGTCCTTTGTCAGATGTATAGATTGTGAAGATTTTCTCCCACTCTGTGGGTTGTCTGTTTACCCTGCTGACTGTTCCTTTTGCCATGCAAAGCCTCCTTAGTTTAATTATGTCCCACCTATTTATCTTTGTTTTTATTGTATTTGCTTTCCGGTTCTTGGTCATGAAATCCTCGCCTAAGCCAATGCCTAGAAGGGTTTTTCCAATGTTATCTTCTATAATTTTTAGAGTTTTTGGTCTTAGATTTAAGTCCTTGAACCATCTTGAGTTGATACGTGTGTAAGGCGAGAGATGAGGATTCAGTTTCATTCTCCTACATGTGGCTTGCCAACTATCCCAGTACCATTTGTTGAACAGGGTGTCCTTTCCCCACTTTGTTTTTGCTTGCTTTCTTGAATTGTGGTATTTTGATGGAAATTGTGTTGAATTTGTAGATTGCTTTTTGCAGTATGGTCATTTTCACAATACTGATTCTACCCTTCCATGAGCATGTGATGTATATCCATTTGTGTCGTCTATGATTTCTTTCACCAGTGTTTTGTAGTTTTTCTTGTAGAGGTCTTTTGACTCCTTGGTTAGGTATACTCATGTATTTTTTTTTTTTTTTTTTTTTTGCAGCTATTGCAAAAGGGGCTGAGTTCTTGATTTAATTCTCAGCTTGGTTGCTGTTGGAATATAGCAGAGCTACTGATTTGTATACATTAACTTTGTATCCTGAAACTTCGATGAATTAATTTACCAGTTCTAGGAGCTTTTTGGGGGAAGCTTTAGTGTTTACTAGCTATACAATCACATCAGCAGCAAACAAACCGTGACAGTTTGACTTCCTGTTTACTGATTTGGATGCTCTTTATTTCTTTCTATTGTCTGATTCCTCTGACTAGGATTTAAATTAGCAAGAAAAAAATAAACAATCCCATGAAAAAGTGGGCTAAGGACATGAATAGGCAATTCTCAAAAGAAAATACAAATGGCTAACATTAAAAAAAAAAAATGCTCAACATTACTAATGATCAGGGAAATGCAAATAAAAACCACAATGCAATACCATCTTACTCCTGCAAGAATGGCCATAATCAAAAAATTTTAAAAAATAGATGTTGGAAGGGATGTGGAGAAAACAAAACACTTTTATACTGTTGATGGAAATGTAAACTAGTACAACCACTGTGGAAAAACAGTGTGGAGATTCCTTAAAGAGCTAAAAATAAAAATACCATTTGATCCAGCAATCCCACTTCTGGGTATCTACCCAGAGGAAAAGAAATCATTATAGGAAAAAGATACTTGCACTCATATGTTTATAGCAGCAAAATTCACAATTGCAAAAATGAGGAACCAGCCCAAATGCCCATCAATCAACAAATGGATAAAAAAAAACTGTGGTATAAATACATGATGGAATAGTACTCAGCCATAGAAAAGGAATGAATTAATGGCATTCACAGCAACAAGATGGAACTGGAGACTATTATTCTAAGTAAAGTAAGTCAGGAATGGAAAACCAAACATCATATGTTCTCACGCACAAGTGGAAGCTAAGCTATAAAGATGCAAAGGCATACGAATGACACAATGGACTTTGGAAAATCAGGGGAAAAGAGTGGGAAGGGGGTGAGAGATAAAAGGCTACAAATTGGGTTCAGTGTATAATGCTCAGGTGATGGGTGCACCAAAATCTCACATATCACCACTAAGAACTTACTCATGTGACCAAATACAGCTAGTTTTCCCAAAAACCTATAAAAACAAAAAATTGAAAGCAAAACTAAAAATAGCTGGAGCATAGAAAGCCGAAATTAAGAGTGGAGCTAAATGATTAGGCAAGAAAGCAGGTGTCAGGTATTAAAAGAACTTGTATGACAACAAGGAGTTTAAGCATTGGTCCTACTGCTCAACAGTGTGATTACTAGTGCCACAGTCTATGCAATTTCCAAAACTGTCCACTGTGGATATACAATTACACATTGGTACTAGCCACTTGCCTTTATAACTTGCTCTATTATTATAAAACTGAGTATTCATCTTCCAGTGTAATATATCATAATACACAAAGACTCCTTTACATTTCTCACAGCATCTCATAATACAATCTTAACATTCCCTGATTTGTTCTTTTCTTCTGTAACTGTCTCTACAGATACCCAAGACAAACAGGCCTTCCTTGAGCTAATACAACAATTTAAAAAAAAAATGAAAGAATAATTTCATTTCCAACCTATTTTGAACTATTCTAAACATCCATAAAGCATTACGACTCTGACAGTATATACAGATAGAAATACCAGATACACACCAACATATTCTATATTAAAAAGTATGCTATCAAGGGCAGGAAATGTTCTGTTGATTTTGAACATATTTACGTCTTGGCCAAAGTTGTGTCAGAGATTGGCAGTATTATCCAAGAATATTTCGCTAACCTTGAGGGAAACTATTACACTTTAAGAATAATTTTTTGGCAGGGTGTGACGGCTCACATCTGTAATCCTAGCACTTTGGGAGGCTGAGACGGGTGGATCACCTGAGGTCAGGTAGACCAGCCTGGTCAACACGGCAAAACCCTGTCTCTACTAAAAATATAGAAATTATCCAGGCATGGTGGCAGGTGCCTGTAATCCCATCTTATCGGGAGGCTGAGGCAGGAGAATCGCATGAACCCAGGAAGTGGAGGTTGCAGTGAGCCGAGATCGTGCCATTGCACTCCAGTCTGTGAGATGAGAGTGACTCCATTTCAAAAAAAAAAAAGAATTTTTAAAGTGTTAAAAATAATTGTAGATCTCTTTAGTACAGGAACTATAACTTCATGAACAGCTTCTTACAGACTACCTTGTAC